CCGCCCCCGCCCGCCCCCACATCTGGTTCTCGTTAGCGGCACCTCTGGCGCAGCTGCAGCCGTGGGGGGGGGGCGGGAGGAGCCTCCTTCTCCTCCTCTCCCCCACCCCAAGCAGGAGCTGAAGAGGACCCCCCCCCGTCGAACAAGTGGATGCCAGCTTCTCCTGGGGTCACACGACCGGGCACCCCCTGGCACAGCTGGAGGGCGGGTGGATGTATTCGAGAGGCCCGGGATTTATTGCCCCGGGTATGCCCCCCCTCGTGAGTAGAGAGCCCTAAGCCCTACTCTGGCCTTACTCCGTGGGGACTGGGTAAGTACTAGCGACACAAATCCTGAGGCGTTTAGCCCTGTTCGTCTGTTGCTGCAAAATAGTGAAAAGTCCAGTAGCACCTTGAAGAGCAACCAACTTTATTGCGGTAAGCTTCCAAGAAACGCAGCTCTCTTCGTCAGGTGCATCTGATGAAGAGAGCTGTGTTTCTCGGAAGCTTAAATACTCGCAATTTCTTGCTTTCAAACTGCTAGGTTGGCAGGAGCTGGAACTAGAGACGGGAGCTCACTCCGTCATGCGGCACACTTGGGTGAGTGTATATGAGTATGCTTGTAGATCACCGAATGATTGCACCTTAATTTCGTTGTACTATGTACAATGACAATAAAGTTTATTATTATTATTATTATTATTATTATTATTATTATTATTATTATTATTATTATTAAAGAACGAACGACTTTCCACAACCTGCAGTTCTGCGTCTTAACCACTAATAAAGTTGATTAGTCTTAAAGGTGCTACTGGGCTTTTCACTGTTTAACTACACCAAGGTACTGGGTGACCAGTCACTTCATGCAGACCCATTGCCAGCCAGGGTTTAAACAATGTGTGATTGGGGCTGCCAAGAGCCGGGTTCGAATCCCCACTCAGATCTCCCAGAATGACAACTGACCTCCCGACCACAGGGATCATTTCCCCTGGAGAAAATGGCGTCTTCGGGGGGACGAACTCCGTGGCATTATACCCCACAGAATTCCCACCCCTAGCCCATGCCTCCCTGGGATCCACCCCCCAAATCTCCAGGAATTTATCAAACCAGAGTTGGCAACTGTACCTGGAACCCCCTCCCCCTTTTTACCAGGTTCTTGTGAGTGTCCCAAAGGAAGGGAGAATTCTGCATGTTGCCCAGAGCTCCTTGGGAGAAGGGCACGATAACGTGGACAGCTAATGCCCATTACAGCTAAATGGAACCTCCAGGTTCAGAGGCAGTCTACCTCAGATGAAGAAACAAAGGGGGAAGGCCGCTGCTTTCATGCCACGACTGTGGGTTTCTTGGGGTCATGTGCCGCCGTGGCAAGCGGGGCCGTTTCTTGGCTTCTGACTTGAAGGTGATGCACCCGGCACATGCTCAGAGGCACATGCAAACGTACGCTTGAAAGCTGAACATTTGGGAGCAGGTGCTGTTGAGCCTAGATAAGCCCGGCACAAATTATTTTGAAGGGCTATGACGCTGTGCAGATACGACCGGCTCTTCCCGACAGCTGGATTCCGGGCTGTTGCAGAAGCAGGGTGACGCCTCTTGGAAGTGGCGGATTCAACCGAGGGTGGGGGGTGCCAACGCAACGCACTGGGAAAGTCGAGTTGATGGAATGTGCAACAGGAAATAAGCTGACATGACGCAACCCCGGGATTTCGCTCCGGCAGCCACGTGGACTTTGCTCCGAGAGCGTGCAAATGGTGTGACCCATTTCAACCTGAACTGGGAGCCGCTTCCTATATTTCCTATGTGACAAACACTTCTGGATGGAAAGCAGCCCTGAGATCTTTGCATAGCTGGCATAGCAGAGCCAGCAAATTAACTGAAAAGGAAAACAGGAAGAAGAAGAAGACACCCAAACACAACCCACTCCCAACAATAGGCTATTTACATAACATTAGTTTCAGAGTCCTGGTGGGCTATTGTTCTAGAGCTTCAAGCTCAGCCAGTCTCTGGTAGACAGTCCTGGAATGATCATGTCCTAATATATAACAGTGGGGCTAAGAGAAAAGGAGGAGGAAGAGATTGGATTTATACCCTGCCCTTCACTCAGAGTCTCAGAGCGGCTTAGAAACCCCTTTCCCTTCCCCTCCCCACAACCGACACCCTGTGAGGTAGGCAGGGCTGAGAGAGCTCTCTCGAGGACCGCTCGTGAAAGAACAGCTCTGAGAGAACCTGTGACTGGCCCAAGGTCATCCAGAAGCTGCAAGTGGAGGAGTGGGGGGAATCAATCCCCGTTCTCCCAGATTAGAGTCCGCACACATAACCACTACAACCAATCTAATCTAATAGCCTAAGCTAAACACTGTATGCTTTTTTAACAATAAATATTCAAATAACAAGTTTAAGTGGTTTTTGTTTGTTTGTTCATGTATTATGAGGTATTCATAAGTATTCTAATATCCAATTTTCTATTGTTTCATACATACACAGTGAAAAAAGTACAATAACATAAAACCAATCACAAGATATAAAGCTCATGAATAAGACTGGGGTGTGTATTTACAAAGTCACTGAAGTGCGAAAAGGTCCTTTTTAAACAATGGCATCAATAAAGATATAATCCTTGAACCGGACCAATATTTTCAAAAGCCGTGGAACGTCCACGAGATGCCAAAATGATCTTGGCGAGGCTTAGAACTCCACAATATGTCCACAAAGGCGTGGCAATCCTTAAACTCTTTAAACTGAACTACGACTGACGTAGATCCCAGGTGGTCTCAGGCATTTCGTATCTTCATCAGAGAGTAGAGTTCGTGCAGTCTTCCTGTGATGATTCTATACTGGAGCTTATCGTTAATCATCAAAAGCACTTTACCCCTCCGAGGAGCATCAAAGCTTCAAAACATCGGTCTGGTTCAAGGCCTATCTCCTTATTGATACCATTGTTTAAAGTGAACGCATGAAGCTGCCTTCTACTGAATCAGACCATCGTTCCATCAAGGTCAGTATTGTCTACCCTGACTGGCAAGCGGCTCTCCAGGGTCTCAGGCGGAGGTCCTTACATAAGAACATAAGAGAAGCCAATGTTGGATCAGGCCAATGGCCCATCCAGTCCAACACTCTATGTCACACAGTGGCCAAAAATACCAGGGGCCATCAGGAGGTCCAGCAGTGGGGCCAGGACACTAGAAGCCCTCCCACTGTTGCCTCCCCCAAGCACCAAGAATACAGAGCATCACTTGCCCCAGACCGAGAGTTCCTAAGAACATAAGAGAAGCCAACGTTGGATCAGGCCAATGGCCCATCCAGTCCAACACTCTTGTGTCACACAGTGGCAAAAATACCAGGTTCCATCAGGAGGTCCAGCAGTGGGGCCAGGACACTAGAGGCCCTCCCACTGTTGCCCCCCCCCCCAAGCACCAAGAATACAGAGCCTCACTTGCCCCAGACCGAGAGTTCCTAAGAACATAAGAGAAGCCAACGTTGGATCAGGCCAATGGCCCATCCAGTCCAACACTCTTGTGTCACACAGTGGCAAAAATACCAGGTGCCATCAGGAGGTCCAGCAGTGGGGCCAGGACACTAGAGGCCCTCCCACTGTTGCCCCTCCCAAGCACCAAGAAGACAGAGCATCACTTGCCCCAGACTGAGAGTTCCTATCTATACCTTGTGGCTAATAGCCACTGGTGGACTTCTGCTCCATATGCTTATCCAGTTCCCTCTTGAAGCCGTCCATGCTTGTAGCCGCCACCACTTCCTGTGGCAGTGAATTCCATGTGTTAATAACTCTTTGGGTGAAGAAGGACTTCCTTTTATTTGTTCTAACCCGACCGCTCAGCAATTTCATGGAGTGCCCAGGAGTTCTTGTATTGTGAGAAAGGGAGAAAAGTCCTTCTTTCTCGACCTGCTCTGTCCCATGCATAATCTTATAAACCTCGATCATGTCACCCCCTCAGCCATCGTTTCTCCAGGCTAAAGAGCCCCAAGCACTTTAGCCTTTCTTCAATGGGAAAGTGTTCCAACCCTTTGATCATTCTAGTTGCCCTTTTCTGTGCTTTTCCCAATGCTGTAATATCCTTTTTGAGGTCTGGTGACATCACTTATTGCCTGGTCCTTTTAACTGGAGATGCTAGAGACTTGAACTTGGGACCTTCTGCATACCAAGCAGATGCTCTACCTCTGAGCCACAGCCCCTTCCGTGACCACAATAATGGGTGTAAATTAAGGGTGGGAAGGTACCAGGTGGATAAAAAAGTAAAGGTACCCTTGCTCGAAAGCCAGTCGAATCCGACTCTAGGGTTGCGGTGCTCATCTCCGTTTCAAAGCCGAAGAGCCAGCGCTGTCCGAAGACGTTTCTGTGGTCATGTGGCCGGCATGACTAAACACCGAGGCGCACGGAACGCTGTTCCCTTCCCACCGAAGCGGTACCTATTTATCTACTTGCAGTTCCTTGCTTTCGAACTGCTAGGTTGGCAGGAGCTGGAACTAGAGACGGGAGCTCACTCTGTCATGCGGCATACTCGGGTCTCGAACTGCTTAACTACCGGCCTTCCACAGCCTACAGTTCAGCCTCTTAACCACTTGAGCCACCGCAGCTCCTACCAGGTGGATAGGAGTAAAAAAAAATATTTGACAGTCAGAGTTGTGCAGCAGTGGAATCGGCAGCGGCTGGACAAACCCTTGTCAGGGATGCTCTAGGCTGATCCTGCATGGAGCAGGGAGTGGGACTAGATGGCCTCTATTGTCCCCTTCCG